GGGGGGGGGTCGTAAAAAATTTCCAAAGAGTAACAACGATAGGGTTGACCCTGGTCCCCATCCTCGGGGATATCCCCGAGGTTGGGGACACATCTCCTCATCCGCGTTGAGGATATATTCCCAGGGTTGGGGACATATCCGCGAGGTTGGGGCACATCCCCTCACCCGCTTGGGGACCTCGGGGAGGGGGATGGGGTCCCCATCCCTTCGTTGGGACTTGCTGCACCCGGCCCCATCGTTGTCCGCAAATGTCCGTCGATGTGGATATCTACACGTATGATTGCAGACCTCCATTGTGCCATTCTTTGCATGTTATAGTTCTAACTTTTAACTTCATTTTATCCAGTGTATAGATCCAGCGATTCCATAAATAGCAATTGTGAGCAATCCCATTGCTTCGCTTGAACTCGACGACAACAAGGGTTACTCTTTTTCTTTCTCCAAGTAAACGGAGCAGAGCGGTATTCACAACCGTGAAGCTTGAATGAGAAGCTTCCCATCAAAGTTTTTGCCATAGATCGTGCTGCTGTGAAAATAATAATTCGGTGTAACGCCATGCACGCCGATTTTTTGAATGCGATAGGCAGGAAATACATGGAGAATTGTATCCACTGCTACGAACTAACGAGATGCTTTGGGAATCACTTATCACTATCTGTCGTGCTGAAGCTCGGTATCTTTTGTGTCTATCGTGTCAAAAAATCTGCGCGCTTATCCGACTGGCATTGCACCATTTCTGCGATAGTTGTGCAAATTGAGCATCACTTCTACTGTGTTTTACACTTTCTTCTTCTTTAAGGGTGATGCTGCCGGTGGTGATACGCCAGTTGTCACGGGGATTGCAGCGATCCACCACTGCGGCGTTGTCTACATCCGTACCTGCAAGGCAGGCTGAAGAGAAGAAAAAGAAAGACCGTAAGTTATCATGAATTACCTACGTAGCGAATAATAGTTACCTAAAGCCATCTGCTCTAAGTTGAAGCATCTATTCATGGAACTGTTCTGGCACACCACCAGATACCTGTCTAGTCTAATCTACCTGCTCATCTCAGTACCTCACATGCTCCCTGGGCACATCTGTCTCACCTCATACCATAAGCATGACCCCGTTAGAGGTCAAGACTTAGATTTTGAGTGTCTCACACATGTATCCAAAACATGAATTAAGCGCAATGTGGCTCGAGGGGGGGGGGGGTAGTCGCCGCACGCAGTCTCTGCGTTTTTCTGTGTAAGCATTTCCTCTTTGCTAAATGGGGACGAAGCTTCGTGCAGGGGAGGAGGAATTCCAGGATTAGGTGCTAACTTAGTTGGGGGGCGCGGCTTTGGCGGCGCGGCAGTCTGCTCGCCTGGCATGTTCGGAAATCCGTGGGAGGGTGAGCCAGTAGGCAGTCTAGGGGGGTGGGGGCAGTCACTTGACATGCGTGAAAAGCTGGAATGTTCGAGTTTACACTGTCTCGCTCGAGAGAGCCCAGGTGAGCAGACTGCCGCGCCGCCGCGTGCCCCCCCCCCAACTAAGTTAGCACCAGGATCATAGCAATTTTCGTCTTCCCAAAGTTCCTGCCCACTCCTAGGCTTAGTACTACAGGGCGCGGACGAGCAGAGATCGCGCGCGGCGTCTGGCCCCTCTCGAGGCACATTGCGTCCGCAAAAATTATACAGCGTGCTGCAAAACTAGAAACCTCTAAAAATTATTACCGACAGCCATGAGACGTCTTTTATCGCAAATTGTACTGTTAGAACCTTGTCTGCGGGTAACCTGCTGCATCTCGTTTCCAGCCCTTTTGAGCGTTTCACACGATGTGCAACAACATAGGATACCCCTGCCAATTCCACTTACAATTCAATTTTTTGATCCGGCTAGCAGGAAAACCGCACTCATCAGCGCGCAGAGCTGTAGCTGTAGAATATCTATTTAATCCATTCGTGACCGCCTTTATATGTGCATTGAGGCAACTTTTTTCGTATTTTTCTACCAACAATAATGGGATTAGGAATGAGCAGATCGTTTTTCGGACCCAATAATGTACAGATGTTTGAAACACGAACAAACCTTTAAATAGGTTAAGCAAAACTAGTCTGCTCCGTGTGAAAGTGTGGCATGACATCATGTCACACGGTCATCGTGTCAAAGTCCTCTTCTTTCGTCCACCAGTGAAAGCGATATGTTGGTTGTATGCCTGCGTGAATGCTCGGTCACAGGATAGCTGCTATTTTCGAGCGCTAAAGGAAAATCATGGTTAAGAACTCCAAAGTTTCTACTACGAACAGAACCAGAAAAATGCCTGGATCATCGAAGAGACCACCGCCACTAAAGGATTGGTTCATATTCTCGATGGGCACATCAAATAATCTCACCACGTGGGCTCAGTCTCAAACAATACTAAGACATAAAACGATATTTTTCTAGCAAAACCACTGAACTATTCATCTAGCGTGCAGTGCGGTAAGCAAGCTACCATGTTCTTTTGGAGTTCTACCTAGCACATGAGAAGAAAACTCTAATGATAGGCTAAACAAGAGTTAGGCCATACGGAGCACTTTTCTTCGAGATAACAAGCGTTTTGCTCTTCTTCAATTGTTTTTCTCTGGCGGCGAGCAGTTTAACCCTGATGGGGCAGTAGCCTTTGTTTGCCGATGGAGCAATATAGAGAAGAATCCTATGGTGATCCTGCCTCACATTGTTAATTTTCGCCAAAGGCCAACGGTAACCTTTTTGTCAACTTAATTACAACAGGCACTCTCAAGGAGCTGCAGAGCTCGTCTGACGTAGTTTGGAGAAGTAGGACCAAGATTTCTGATACTTTTCACTGATTGCGTTTGATACCTGATTTCAAAAAAAGGGAGTGATGGCGGTGAGACTTGAGCGATTCCCCAAGTTCCATAAAAAATCAATCAGTTGAGTCATACAGTTACTTTAAAATTGTTAACATTGAAATATGTTCCGTTTAAAGCGGACATCAGGTAGAATTGCTTTCCTAGAGCCCTTTATTGGTGTTGTTGATGTGTGCAGTAAAACATTCAAATGCTTCAGCGACTATTCTAAAGCTTGATGAGGAAAAACGGACACGGTTGGCGAATTTCGGTCGATATGTTGCTGAGTGTCTCCCAAAATTCGTACAGCAAGTGCAGGTAAATTTTCAAATCCGGCTGAAGATTTTTGTGAATCTTAGTGGTCCTTGTGTGCAAGAGTGGAACCATCTCAATTTGTTGAGCCTTTTATGCTCTCATGCCATGTTTCGGATCTTTTTCATTATCGTTTTCCCTCATCCCTCTTTTTATGAAGCAAATCTGACCCCATAGAGGATTAAGTGATGTGGTGAGTCGGGGAACTCGAATGGTATTCTTTTGCTTTTGAACACTATCTATCCACGTAGCTTCTCTCTTTGGAAGGAATAGGTAATATTCGATCATTTGTTTTTAGTTCGCTGCTGGAGACGAGCTGGAGATTCTTATCCATCCCTCCGGTGTTGTGCCAGTATTGACATTTCTGAAAGGGAACCATTCGGCACAGTTCACAAACCTCACATTTGTATGTGGCGTTGATGTTCCAACCAGGAAATTTCGATTTGAGGTAAAATTTGCCGCACGCGCACAAATATTTGTGATACAATAGCCTCCAACGCTTTCAAAATAAATTTCTATTATTTGTTCAGGTAGTATACTCCTTGTTCTCTGTTCGTTTTATGGCTCGTTGTCGTGTACGTACTTACACTGATGAGGTAGCACCTATTGAATCGATCACCGGCGTGTTCAGGGGAGCTAACTGGTAAGTTCCTTAGTTTAGTATTTTTTTGAGTAAAATGTGAGGTTTTTAATCGACAAAGTAGAGTTGCTGAACATATCTTAAACTGTTTTTGGTCTTTGTTGACGGTTGAAAGGGCGCGTCCAAATTTCATCTTTCAACAGTGGTAGCATTATTTTCGTTGAGCTCGAATATTTTTGGCAATCTTGTGCATTCGCGAAAAACATGGTAGCTTAAAAGGGGAATGCATTATACTTTTTTCAAGCTTTCAAGTTGTATTCGGGCTGTTTTCTGAAGCTCCACACCTTTCAAATTGCTCCAAATAATCATGGAGTGTCGTTAATTATTCTTCTAAATTATATTTCGTTCAGGTACGAACGCGAAGTATACGACATGTATGGCGTGTGGTTCAACAATCATCCAGATCTCCGTCGTATTCTCACTGATTATGGCTTCGAAGGCCATCCATTCCGCAAGGACTTCCCTCTAACTGGTTATAATGAGGTCAGTACCCAAATGCGTTCCATTGTTGAACCTCAGAAGTGTATCTGAAAACGAAAAACACTGCTCCGCCTCCGGTGGTCTGTGAGTAGTTTAGTGATGAAGCAGTTGCGTTTCTGTCAGGTGAGGTTTTTTGGAAGTCATTCGAGGTAATAGCGGCCGCGCCCTTCCCTATGAACCTGCTGGATTGCTACCATTGACTTATTGGTGTGTCAGGCCCGCGGGGTTTATAATAAAAATCTATGCTCCAAATGAAGCAAGATGGTACAGTAGATGTTGCTTAACAAGGTTGGCCAAAAAAGACATTTTGCCCATGTCGCACTTCGGCCCTTTTTTCTTCGCAGAGATTGCCGTCGTTGACGGAAGTTCCTCAGCAGAGTATTCCCTAATGTCCCTCTATAAGTAGACGCAGGCCCTCCACTGCCCTCACCGTCTTCAGAATATGACGTCATCTGTCACCGTCGTCAAGCTCAAGGAGGCCTACCGTAACTGCTTCAGCCTGAAGCTCTTACATAATTTCGTGAATCGATTCAATGTTGGATAGTTTTCTAGAGGCATTAGCTACCACTATGCAAATCCCCTCGGAAACTAGCTTTCCAGTAAAGGTCGTTATGGTACACGATCCTTCGAAGACCCCATTGAGATCGACCAGTGCACCATGTTTCCAGGGCAAATTCTTCTGATGCCGTCCACGTAGGTGGCCACTATGAAGATTTTCTTATAGAATGAAATGCGCTCTTCAATCTAAATAACGGTTTGAATTGAGCAAAGTGTGATTAAATCCATCTGAAAGTGGAGACAAAATGTCTTTTTTTCATTGGCCCCCTGTTTCTTTTTTTCCAATTCGCCGGCTCTCCTCAATGACCGCGGGGCCAATATATGACAATAAATGGCAGAACGGTGAAATTTGAACTATTGTGGGAGCGATGTTTAAAGGAATCTTCCACGGACCATGGACCAGTGGGCGGGACCGGAAGTTTTTGTGACGAAATGCATGGTAGGTACGGATCCACGTGTCGAACGCACGAACGTGAACAGGATTCACTTCAAACCTTCCCATGAACGTGGATCCGTACCTACCATGCATTTCGTCGCAAAACCACTTCCGGTCCCGCCCACTGGTCCATGGTCCGTGGAAGATTCCTTTGAGTACTTTCCAAAAATCCAAAGCTCCATACATAGTCGTTACCGAGAAACAAAGAAAAAATATGGACAATACTCAGTCTATTTATTTTCCAGTTCCACAATAGACATTCATTGTTTTGCGTAGTGTCTGAATTCGAAATCATTTTGTAATAGCTGATAGCTGATTTAAACATTCTGAAACCTAGTTTACACAATGTAAGCTCAATTGTTGAACTTCAAAAGAGAAGGACCACTCAAGAACTGCAGTAGGTTTCCTATGTGGTCTCGCTCTCTTTGAAGTTCAACCAATAGTTCGCCTAGTTACGTATTCTGCGCAATACTGGCAAGATTTTTGGTAATTTTCGTTTAACACACCCCTCTGTCGACATTGCCCTTTTTCTCATTTATTCAAAGAAAAGTGTAATTCTGGTTGAAGAATGGCAATTGATGTATTCCTGTCTTTGAACATATTATTAGGTTGGAAAGAAAGTCCTGCAACACTTTTTCAAAATTTTTGATTTTAATTTTATCTTTTTTGTTTACAACTCCTGACCGGTCTTATATCTACCATGAGTGTCCACCACTTGTCTTCAACGCTCAGAAAATTTCTTGATGCTCCTTTGCCAAAACCCAGCGGAGTGCGGGTCGAGAAAGGAGGCGACCTCACTTTCGAGTTGGAGTTGATCGTCTAATTATTTCGTCATCAAGATGATGATTTAAGGTCCAGGATAGGTGGCAGTCATTTATAGCTCGACCAGGGGAATACGCTAAGAGAGGTAAGAAATCTTGCCGCAGCTCCAGAATTTCTTACCGGGCTCATTTCGGATCATGGTGATTCGCAATGTCATGAAAGAAATAAATATTGTCGCGGTACGAGGGCTCTGACGAGCTGCCTCGGCCAGCTTCTGGAGTTCCGCAGCCTAGACCTCTACCTACACAATGGTGCCCATAACGAAGAATTTGTAGTGGAGCTTCCGTAAGAGCCCTTCCTGTAATGGAGTGTGTAGGACGCTGCTGGCTTCTTATGAAAATATCAAAAACACTATCTGCAATCGCTTCAATAGGCATATCGTGCACCGCTACAGCGTGTTTCACCTCTACCCACGCTTGGATGGTCTTTGACACGAATCCACAGTTATGGAGACATTTGTACTAGACAGTGACTCGGAGTATGGATTTACTAGTGGTCGAGGTTTTTTGAATTTTCTTGGATAACTACTGACTGCAGCACTTATATCCACCTCGTGGATTAAAGCCTCGAGAATGCTCTACCATTTGTTAGTCATAAATGTTACCTATGATTTTTCAGAAAAAAAGAAAATTTAGAAAGAGTGTCGCAGAACTTTCTTTCCAACCTAATATATTTCGTG